TGGTTGGACGAAAATTAGATTTTCCAACGATTGTCCTAAGCCATATGAAAATTAGTCTGCCACTTGCACCAAAGCTTTACCTTACAGTATGCTTCTCACCAAAATATTCAAATATTTTAACATTCCATTAAATGATGAGGTTTACGAGTCCCTCCGTCCAACCGACACTATAAACTTTCACACTCTTAAGAGAATGAAAATTGTTAAAGAACAAGGGCAATGGGTGGCTCACACAAAGGGCTTTGATCCGGACTCCGGACCCTCTACTTTACCTCTTGGCGAAGCCGAGGATGACCATGAGGACGACATTCGACAAGTTCCTAGTCCCACTCACGACATTCCGGGGTCGAATGCACCACCCCCTACAAGTGGTTTTACCTTTCTCGAGGACCATTATAATCTCCTCAATGGCCGTATCGACTCCCTCACATCCTCCATTGACGAGCTTGGAGAACGGCTTCACCATTTGCAAATGCAACAAGATAACATACAAACTCAACGAGAGGCATTCTATGCTAGGTTTGATGCTCAACAAGAGGCGATGCAAACTCAACAAGCTGCCATACAAGCTCAACAAGCGGCTATGCAAGCTCAACAAGACGCCTTCTACACCTACCACTCCGCTCAACAAGAGGCGATGTTAGCTCAGCAAAATGCCTTCTATGCTCATTTTGACGCACTTTTTCCACCTCCGCCTCCTCCAGACCTTTAGCTATATTTTATGCATATGTTCTTTATTGTTCATGTTGGTTTATTTTTAGTGTTGTCGTTGCTCTATGCTCTAAGACATTTTGTGTCGTTTCTTGTATTGTGCACTTCTCTTCGATGACATATTCTTCTTTTTGCTTATGACAAAATGGGGAAAAATTATGGAAGATGAAATGATTGATGAGATATGCTTGATAATGATATGATATATGCTTGATGCTTGATAATGATATTTGCCCTTATAAACATATGTTTCAAACTTATTCGAGTATCGATTTGTAAAAAATAGGGGGAATATATGGATCTCATGCATAGTTGAGTACTTATATTTCCCACCACTTGTTCATTATTATCTCGTAAATCATCTTGTTTGTCATAATCGAAAAGGGGGAAATTGTTGACCTATGGTTTTGATTATAACAAACAAGTTGAACTTACTTACTAACAAGTTAAATTCAAGTGA